TTTTAAAGATGGTTCAAAGCTCCTATATATAATGCCAGAAAAGATTCCTGTGGTCAGTGTCTGCAAATCTCTGGAATTTCTTAGCCTTTTCCAGCCTCTTTTTCCCTGAGCCAGGCTCTATTCCAGGTAGCTCTTTCTCCATGCACATATGTACACATCTTGTTGATCAGAAGCCTAGGTATTTGCTTGTACTGTTTTAATACTTCCTCACTTTTAAAACTTCTGTTTCTTTTTGTAGAACTCAGCCTTTTCCTACTCTGCCTCTTTGCGATCCCCTTTCGTTGTCCCATAGCACACCTGCTTTCTTCTTTCCTACTGTGGGGTGTGCTGAACTTGTCCTCACTGCTGGACTCCAGGCTTTTCTTAGTGAAGGGACACACTCCTGTCATCCTCATTTGTGTGAACTAAGCAGATGACGCAGAGTCAATGCTAAACAAAAGTTGAGTTGCTGATGGGACCAGAAGTCAGTGACACTCAATCCTATGCTTATTTAATTTAAAATATTTTACTAGAACCTTAGGCAGCACTAGAAAAAAAAAATGTAGACGGTAGGAAGACAAAAGTAAAAAACCCTCACAAAATGCATACATCTTCACTTTGGACAAGTTTTTGAAGTACTAAGTGAAAGTTTATATATTTCAAAATACTTCAAAACAAGGACTTGATGCCAGAAATACACTTGGAAATGACAGCTGCCTGCCACTGGCAAGCTTTGCTTACAACTGTACACACTGAGAGGGAATCCAGGGCCTTCACGTATTTCCCATCAGATAAAATGTATAGAGCGAAAAATTATGTCAGAAAAAGTCCTAGCTAACCTGCACAGATCTTCTATAGCGAAGTCGGGCAGTGACCAGCTCGCAGCAATACATGGTAAAGCGGAAATCATTTTCTCCGGCTCTGCCTACTTCAAATACTATTAAGCCCTTCCTTAGGAACAAAGAGGGGATTTTGGTGGGAATCAAGACAGAAGAACCTGGAAATGGTTAGAAAGGAATATACTTAAGCATTTGTTTGCTCTTAGGAGCTGTTTAATGAGGTTGTTTTACTTTTAAAACAACCTGAATTGGCGGTAATATTTTTATTAATTTCAAATTAAGGGCAGGCAAATGGTATTCAAAGTCCTTTTTTTTTTTTTTTTCCACTTGCTTTCCTCATTTGTAGCAATAGTCCTGTCTAGGAATTACGACACCTTTCCCCCACAAGTATTGGCAAAGACAACGATCCTGCTCACACTTACATGTCCTGTAGTGTGGACCATTTTACTTCGCTGGTCAACATCTGGGTGAATTGTGGGTGAGAGTAATGGGTTGAGCATTTCACAAGAAAACAACTTCAGAGTCTAGCTAACTGCTATGGCTCTGAGCTGAGGCTTTTTCCCTTTGCAAAGGGAAGTTGCAGCTCCAGCATCCTCTGCTGGAGGAAACCTGGCAAGGTTTCAGGCCATATGTCAGGGGAACCCTTGCACACATCACTACGTCAGAAGCCAAGGGCTGGCCCACAAGCACTGAGGACTGTTTGTTTACGGGAGCGTCTGAGCAGAAACACGGAGGTCACATAGTGAAGGGTGCCTTCAAGAAAACTGGAAGGCGCAAGTTATTAATTACTGCTCCATTGCCCTGTCCTACCCTGTACAGCTCTTAGCCAGTAGTTTTGCCTGGGTGTTTTTCTCTCTTTAGTTCCTTGACACAGCAAGATTTTGGACAGTTAAATAGAAGAGTTTTCATATATTTCAAAGTAGAGCCATAGTATATACTGCTCTCTGTGGGTGAAAGTATTTTATTAATGAATGCAGTACGTGTTCTTGGTAAAAGCCAAAGTTAAACTGGCTCACTGTTTTTGTCCTGCTAGCTGCAGATGACATTTAGGTGTGCTGCTTGGGGTAGTGACTCAATTTCCTGTAGGATAACTGGCAACTCCACATTGAGGCTTTTTTTCTTTCTTTTTCTTCTTTTATAGGGATGAAAAGGTCAGTTACTAGATGTCCTAGAAAACTTGGTGTTAAAATTCCTAAAAGTGAATGTTTACTAATGATCCTGAAAAACTGCGGCTAGTCGGCTGGGCATGGTGGCACACACCTGTAATCCCAGCACTCGGGAGGCTGAGGCAGGAGGATCGCTATGAGTTTGAGACTAGCCTGGGCTACATAGTAAGTTCCAGATCAGTCTCAACTACATAGGGAGGCACTGTCTAAAAAAAAACAAAAACAAGAAAATTAAAAAAAAACTGCAGCTAGTCGTATTGCTTATTAATATAGGGAACTTGAAAAAATAGTATTCTCAGCTCTATGCTAATAATAAATATTTGGACATCAGTTTTGTAAAATAGCTCTTTTTCTGTTGTTAATAATTATTTTCTTACTGGTAGTATATATTTTCTGGATCATTTTTTTTCTATCCTTTAGCCCATATTCAAATTTTAATATTCAACATGGTAACCCATTATTTGGCCAGAAAATTGGGTCTTCTGAAATAAATTAACCCTCTTGTTATCCTACTATCTTCATAAGAACAAATCCTATATTTAAGTGCACAGTGTCTGGAAGCATCAAACTGAAACTCTCCTGAATTACTTTTCCACATTAAAAAATAAAGACTGAAATATAATATGTGGAGCCTGGTGTTGCCAGGTCTGAATTTGTACTTCTGATTGCAGAAAAACTGTAGGAAGTTAGTGAAGATGGAGGAAGGTGTGCTGAGAGACCTTCCCTGAGACTTAGACTTGGAGAGACTTGGATCCATAAGCTATAGAGTTGTGGAGAGAAGACTCCTGCCTCCTGGAGCACTGAAAAGATGACAGGGAACAAGTACTCATATGGCAATGACTCTAACCTACTAGATACGTTAAATATGGGCCACTCAAATGCCCGTATTTGTTAAAGTTATCTTTAACATTGTTCCTTTTGCTAAGAAAGAAACATTTCACCCTTAAATTTTAATTCATTTAGCAAGGTCAGCAGTTGTTTGTACACCTAAAATATGTATTTACAGAGATTTGTGCAGAAAAAGTAGAATGAAAGAGGCAAAAGTGAGTAGTAAATCTTCAAGAATACTTGCTAACAACAAATCATGGTGGCACGTGTGACAAACACTTCAAATTACACTGTAACTTTTACAAATTTTATTTAATAACTCATTTGAAAAATCTCAGGATCTTGGGATTCAGTCCATGAAACTCTTTGTCGTGCTACTGATAATTTATGGAATCTAAATTTCAAGAGTAGACTATCTTTTCCAACGATCCTATAGATTGGAAGATCAAAAAAGGGATCTCACCGCTTCTTGTAAGCTTTTCAATGTTTTTCAAATTGACAATGATCAAATTTATAAAATGGGTCCTTGAGAGTTATGGTTTTTCCATCTACAAATGGTTTGCTTATCCCTACTCTAATGTCCTTTAATTCTCCAGAATTGATCAGAGCAAGTGCCTGTGATCCCCTTGATCGGCTTTTTAAAAGTTGGACCGGCTTCCCTTGCCTTTGGATATGGTCCTTTTGTTTGCCGGTACTTGTGATTTATTTGCACATGGTGGGTTAAAATCATCTTCCATACTTTCGTCTTTGGCATCCCAAGATGATCTTGGTCTTATGCAATTCCACAAGGAAACATGTATGCAGGTCAGAGGTAACTTCTCCTTATCTCTTGGTTCATTCACGTTGCTGCTGCTCCTTTAAGATAACTCTTAGGTCATTCTGAATAGGAAAACGCACCATTATCAGCCAAGGTGTCCCGTTTGCTTGTTGCTGACCACCCCCAAAATTTAGAAGTCTGGCACTTAGGCCCGAAAGGATGTGCTCCTAATAGAAATGCCCTTATTCCCACACTCTGCTCCCTTAAAGTCAATCCAAAATCCTCAGAAAGGAACCCTCAGAAACTCTCAAACGTCATCCCTCAGAAGAGACTGGGCCTGGGCGAGGGTCTTAACCCTGTCTGCACTCCGCCTCGCGGTGGGCTCTTTTGGTCTGACTGGCATACGGAACCCAGCGCGCAGGGTGCAGGGGTCCTGGGGGTGGGGGGGCAGGTGC